GATGTGGGTAATTCAATTTTGGCATCAATTTTTCCTAATCAGGTCATTAGGATATCAAATTGAACAAAATCCTATTAACCCGAATACAAAAATGTGAAAATCTTGAACATGATTATCACAAAAGTTGGGGAAAATCACATGTTTGGGTTCAAAATGTGATGGGGAATTCAATTTTGGGGTTTAATTTTGAAAATTGGGTCAAAATTGAGCTTAATTGGTGAATTTAGACTAACCCGGGTCTGCCGGGTCGATCGGGTCAACCCGACCCGACCCAAGTCGGTCACCTTCTTCGCTTGACTCACTCAAACCACAATAAAACCCACAAAAACCGAATTAAACCTAGGACTTCATGAACTTCCCTCGGTCAAACTAGCACGTGTAAATTGACTTGGCCAGCTGGCACCAGAGATTCGATCTAACTGATTCTAGGTCGGTTCTTGTTGACACCTAATTTTTAGCTCATTTTTTTTCATATTTTCAAAAATCTCAAAATTAGAACTAGGAATATTGGCCAAGCCTAGAAACCTATTTCTAAACCAAAATATAATTTTTTTAGCATTTTTCTGCATTTTTCCTTAATTTCTTTTAATCAAAATAAACGAGAAAATCAAGAAAAATAGCAAATGGAATCAGAAAATTCCATAAAAATAGTCATTAGTCTTATTTTAAATCCAATTTCATGAATACATCATCAATTTTGGAAAATCTCAATTGGGTATATGTTTTTCTCAAAATTGGGCAAAATTAAACTCGAATTGAACCAAAAAAGCAATTAATTTTTTTCTAGTCATTTTTAAGTCATAGTGTCTTAACAACAAATGATTCTGGGACCTTGAATTGCATAATGGTTGGTCCAATTGCACAATTCGATATAAAAATAAAAAATCCCCAAAATTCGATTGAAAATTAAGAATTTGGAACCCAAATTGGGAATAGTGCCCAATATGAAATTTTCGAAATATGAGACCATCAATTCTAGGGTTAATCAGATGTGGGTAATTCAATTATGGCGTCAATTTTGACTAATCAGGTCATTAGGACGTCAAATTGAATAAAATCCTATTAACCCGAATACAAAAATGTGAAAATCTCGGACACAATTATAGCGAAAATTGGGGAAAATCATATATTTGGGTTCGGAATATGATGGGGAATTCAATTTTGGCGTTTAATTTGAAAAATCGGTTGAAATTGAGTCCAATTTGAGTTTTTAATTAAAATCGAGCCTGTCGGGTTGACCAGGTCAACCCGACCTGACCCAGTGACCCGTCTTCTTCACCCGGATCACCTCAGAACGTTCAAAACCCATAAAATAACTCCCGTGCCCAGAACTTTACCGACTTCCCCCGATCAAATTAGCACGTTTTATTCGATTTGGCCAGCTGAAAAATATCCAACTGGCACCAGGGAATCAATCTAACCGATTATAAGTCGGTACTAACCGAATTTGGGCGGGATTTTTTATCAATGAAAAACGAAAAAAACTGGAACATTGCAAAGACGATGCTCGACGAAATGCCAGAGAGGGAGAGGAGAGAGAAATAAGCGAAACCAACGAGAAGGATCTAGAGAGAGAGAGGGTCGAGAGTCCCCTCACGAGTGCTCGGTGCCGCCGTGGACGGCGGAGCACCGGCGAATCGTGATTTGGCCGTGACTCTTCCCTAGTTGTTCCAGTTGACTCGGCTGGTCCTGAAGGCCTGAAACCGAGCCTTTTCCGGCCAATCCAGAGCTCGTTCTGCGAATCCAAGACCACCAGGTTGAAGGTCAAGTATCAAGGAACGACTCCGTTGTTGACACCTAAATTTTGGAGATCCCGTTATTTAAATATTGCATAGAAAAATTAGGGATTAAATTTTAACCCCTAAACAAAAATATTAAAATTGCATAGCATATAGTTTAAGTTCATATAGGTTAGTTGCATTTCGCATCGAACCGGCGGTGGCAAGTGAACTGAAAATCCATCGCGCAAACCGAGCTCGAGCACTGAACGAAACTCGGCTCACTCGGAAGACGGGGGCCGAAAATCACAAGTCTAAAAGGCCTTGGTTGTCTTAATTTGAGCTTAAATCAGCCCATTAAGCTTAATTAAAGAAAAGCCCAAATTAATTCAGTCAATTTGGAATTAAATAAAAATTAAAAGATAAAGCCTAAGCCAAAGCCCATTAGGACTAGGAAGCCCGGCCAATTAACCTAGGGTTGCGATATAAATATGTGATTATACCCCCACTCAAGAGGGGGGACTCTCATAATTTTCGGAGAACACAATTTCGGAGAACAAGATGCCACACATAATAGAGTACACGGCCACAAAATTGAGGGGAGAGCGAGACGTTCACCATTAAGGAGAATACACGTTCTTGAGGAGTCAGAGAAGAGATGGGCGTGCATATAGAGGGAGTCCTCTGAGGAAGCTTCAGGGGGTTTGCTGGGTAGTGGATTCGTGGGTGAGTAAAAAATATAGAGCCTACAATTGAAAGAAGCTTGCAGCCAAGAGGACCTTCGTGCCGATTCTTCACCAAGAGCTCACCTTCACATCGAACAACAACGAAGCAGTTCCCTGTTGCACTGCAGCCACGTGACCTTGTCTAGCATCGACGTGTTTCCTTCCTGGCCGACGACGAAGCACTTGTTGTTCCTGTTCTTGCCGCCGCCGCTATTCTGTCATCGACGCCTTGCTGCTGCCACCCGCGGACCCGTTCCCGCCTTACCGAGCCCCCTGGCCGGCGCTCCTACTGTCACGTCACCCTCGCGGTCGACCCCGTGGTCGCGAGTCAGTCCGTCGTCCCGCTCGTGATTCTCTTTTGCAGGTGACGGGCTGAAATTCCTAACGATCCGCGAGCGACATCGTCGTCACTGCCATCGCCGCCGGTCCACCCGCCGTCGGTCATCCCGATCCGCAATCCCGATCCACGAGGTCAAATTTGGAAATATCCCGAAATTAGGTAAGAACGTTATCCGATACTTTCGGAATATTTGGTTTCCTAGTTTTCTCGATATTTCAAATATTTTGGTGCATATTCTGTGGATAGCTAGATATAATAGGATAATTTTGTGATATCCGCAACATTCGAAAATACCCAAAATTAGGAATTATTCCCAATTTGGCAACGTATCTGGACGACTATCCGACCTTATCCCTAAGGTACGATACGCGGCGATACGGCAAATCGTTATCTTATCCATAATTACTTGGATACGATAATAGATTTTATTTGCTTTCCAAATTCGAACAATCAGCTTTCCGTCGATATCTATAACTCTATAGATATGACCGTTAGTTTGATTTCTTTTCCTAATCCAAATTTGATAAGAAGAATCTTGCGGATTGCGTGGACTGTTTGAGTGCGGTTGTTATATTTGTTTGATCACTCTTTTTTAATAAAGAAAATCCAAAAATATGTTAGTTAGGATTTAAATTAGAAGTTTTTGCATGTTTAGGATAGGTTTAGAATAACTTTATTTGAATAAGTCGATAGGATGACTTTTTAATTTAAATTAGGAATTAGAGTAATTTATTTCCTAGTTTAATTTAGATATTATCCTAATCTCGATGGTTCATTTTAGGGTAATTCTTGATTTCGAATTTTCATAAAAATACCAAAAAGAAGTCACTTTAGAATAGATTAAATTATCCTTTTTTAGAATAGATTGCATGTTAATTTAATTCCGAAATTCATTCAAAAATAAATCATTTGTCCGTCATTAGAATTAGGTCACGTCGTCGCATGACATATAGTTCGCATGCTAGGTTACATTAATCGCATGTCATTTTTTGCACGTCATTGCATATAGGTTAGTTTGCATTTTAATAAAGCGCAAACCCTAAAGAACACCTCGAGTGCCTTGTTTTGTTAAGTAGAAATCATATTAGGATTGTCTGTGTGATTTTCTATTAACAATGCAGATGCTTACGTTGCTTCGAGGTAAGTAATTCTCCCAATCTTGCAATTTATTTAATGTTTTGATTATTGGGTGTTACTTTGGTGGTTTGCGCACCCGCATGATCGCCTCACATGCTAGTGACTAAGTTAAAATGGATCCAGACTGCCTGCATAAATATTTTTGAAAAGAAAAGGTATCGAAAGGGCGTTAGACTAGATCTAGCGTAACCAAGTCCCCGAGCTTAGAATCTCTGGTTCGTAGGAATAAAACATATCTCCCTATGTTTTATTTAGGTTTCTAATCGATTTACCGTAAATAGATTAGTGGCGACTCCAAGCATGAAAATTTTTGCATATTAAAAACTTAAACCCTAAGTTGCGAATTGGTAGGGCTTGGAAGGGCCCGAGTTAGGTTTAGTCCTAATAATCCATTAGCCTGAGAGAAATGTTAGGTCGCGACAGCTTGGCGACTCCGCTGGGGACTTGAGTTAAATCTCTTAGTGGACTTAGGCCAGTTTTTCTTTTCAAAAAATATTTTTGTTTGGCAGCGAGGATCCGAGGTATGTCCCTAACATTTTAGGTGTTAAATGTTTTTGCAGAATGGGAGGTATAAAAGGAGGCGTGATTGTTAACCCTTGTTTTGCAGGGAGGTGTTTGGATGTATGGTTTATTTTATGCACGAAGCGCTGTATGATATAACCTGTTGTGCATGCCTTGCATTTACACTACACCGCACACACTACCCGCTGCCGGACCTGGGCGGCATAGGTTTAGGATGGTACTGAGACAACGGACACCCCGACCACACCCGTGTGGTACGGGTCGCCCTCCTCAGTCCCGAAAGTTCTTTCACAGTGTCATTGAGTTCCCACCACGGTTGCACCCTTTGCAACCCGAGTCGGCTCCTTGACTAAGCCGGAGTCAAGGGAACCCCGGCCTAACCACCACCATGACTGGTTTAGCACGGTAATCCTCTCGCCTCCACTTTGCAAGCCAGAGTCTAGATAGAAATCGAACCTCACATTTCATGCGCATGTCTATGTGATTGCCATGGTCCTACCGGGTAAAGTAATTACGGACCGATCACGATCGCCTATTCGTACGCGGTCGAGAACTAGAATGGCCGATCAAACTGACTTACGAGATCGTGTCGTTGGCATTGAGGACAAGATGAAGCAAGTCCTCGCCGCAATGCAACAGATGTCTGCTGAGATCAAAGCCCTTCGGCTGACTCCCATTCCTGCATCCCCTGAGGCATCAGCCCTAAAGCATAAAGGTGAAAAAAATGTCGATAGTGAGGAAGATGATGACCTTCCCGATTTAGTAGATGACCCCGTCCAGATTATCGTCAACAAGGACAAACCTGATGAACGAGTTAACAAACTTGAAGAGAGAGTGAAGCAGCTGGAAGGCTCACATGATTCACCCTCAATTGACTTGTCTTTGTACTCACAGATCAAAATCCCGAAGAAGTTCAAGATGCCAGACTTTGACAAGTATAATGGCACCTCCTGCCCAAAAGCCCACCTGCAGCTATATCACGTACAAATGACACCGTACGTTGATAATGAACTCCTGATGATTCATGCATTTCAGGCAAGTCTGACGGGTCCTGCCTTGAACTGGTATCTCATGAAGAAGATAAATGGCCTCAAAACCTGGAAGGAAGTTAGCGAAGCATTCCTAAAGCAGTACAGGTTCATAACGGACATCATTCCCACCCGTGATGACCTCGAGCGTGCTCAGATGAAGAAGAATGAGTCATTCAAGGATTATGCTATCAGATGGAGAAACATAGCCGCACAGATTATCCCAGAACCCATAGATAGTGAATTGAAGAGGATGTTTATTAAAACTCTACCGTTCGAATACCGTAATCGGATGGTAGCTACTCCGGCTGACAACTTCAATCAACTCATCCCTATAGGCGAATGATTGAGATAGAAATTTGAAAGATGGGTGGTTTGTGGAGCCGTCTTCCTCGACCAAAAGATTTGGTGCAAGAAAGGAGAAAGAGCCGGCAGCTGAAGTGAATGTGACTTATACCCAACCGGGCCGGCGGAATGCTAACCATGTCCCAGCAATCCAAGTAGCAGAAGCTCGACAACAAAATATGGGTCGTCAACCCTTTCAGAAGAAGAACAACAAGAGGCAATTCACCCCCCTCCCCGGGTCGTTGTCTCAAGTATTGGCGGTCCTCCGAAAGAAAGGCTTGCTTACCACTGAGCCAAAGCGGCCCAATCCTGAGCAATTCTATAACTATGACCCATCTAAGAAATGTGATTATCATATGGGCGAAGTGGGGCATTCAACTGACAACTGCTTTACCCTCAAGCATCGAATCCAGGATCTCCTGGACACAAAGGCTTTCTCATTCCAACCTGCCAGGCCGAATGTTCTAAACAACCCGCTCCCTGATCACACGGGCAATGTGAATGGCATATTTAGTTTCGATGCTGGTCGAATCAAGAATGTCAAGGTGTATACCACCGACGTCTACGGTGAGTTAGTGAAAGCCGATTATTACCCAAGTAACGAGGTCCTTCCCCTGGCTATCATGAGAGAAAGAATCTCAAGAATGGTAGAAGCTGGGATGATCGTTTATGCTGACCACACTGGCATCGTTTCTACTATCTCCGAAGTGGTTATTAATTGGGAGGAGGAGTTTGCTACATTGAACACTGGGAAGGACAAGCTCGACCCTTTACTTGAAGACATGCCTCCGCTCGAAGACGCATCTGATAATGAAGAGATCGTAGTAAGCACGCCTACAGCTGATGAAGGAATAGTGATCGAGATACCTCAACCGTATGAGTACGGTGATGATAAGGCAGTCCCTTGGTCTTACAGTCTCGATGTCGACTTGGTTACCAGATCTGGGCGTACCTATGGCCAAGCTAATGCCCAACCTGCAAAACTTGTTACTGATGAAGAAGCCAAGGAGTTTCTAGCTGTGATTAAGGCTAGCGAATACAACATAGTTGAACAATTGCGCAAGATGCCCGCGCAAATCTCTCTGCTTGAACTCTTCCAAACGTCTGTCAAACATCAAAAGGCCCTGATGAAGGTGTTAAGTGAAGTCCACGTGCCCGAGACGATCGATCATGACAAATTGGAGGAATTTGTGGGTTCTATACTCCTCAAGGACCTCATAGCCTTTTCAGATGAAGAGTTCCCTCTGGAAGGGAGGGGGCATACCAAGGCACTTTACATTTCTGTCAAATATAAGGCCTCGCATATAGCCCGGGTACTCATTGACAACGGATCAGCCTTGAACATCTGTCCTTTGGCGACTTTACACCGCCTCGAGATAGATCCTTCTAGGATAAATTCTGCGAAGACCTCCGTGCGAGCCTTTGACGGAACGAAGAAAGAAGTAATGGGAGAAATCCACCTTGACATACAGATAGGACCAACAATGTTCAACATCCTATTTCAAGTCATGGATATTCCCACTGCATTCAATTTTCTGTTGGGTCGTCCATGGATTCATACTGCCGGAGCTGTGCCATCCAGTCTACATCAGAAGGTGAAGTTCGTTGTGGAGAGAAAGTTAGTCACAGTCCACGGTGAAGAAGAGCACCCAATTTACCAAGCGACTGCTATCCCCTATGTTGAGCCGGATTGCAAAATAGAATCGAGCTATCAGTCGCTCGAGCCCGTATCTACCATACATGCGTCTAGAGGATCATCACCGTCCATTCCTGAGATGTCAAATGCTGCAGTCATGGTTGGAAGAGTAATGGTGTCCCATGGCTTTACTCCAGGTGAAGGCCTTGGTAGGACTGGTCAAGGTATCAGCCAACCGGTGGAAGTCTCTTGGAGGCCCCACACTACTGGGTTAGGGTACCAGAGGTCAAGCGAGACAAATAATGGGGGACGTGGACGTGGACGTGGTCGTGGTCGAGGTCGAGGAGATGGGCAGAATAGACAGCAATCTGAAGAAGAACCGAATGGTGAAGAACGTGGGCGTGGTAGGTTGCTTTCACACATCCGTGCCACATTCCCAGGCCCTGCAAAAATGATGCATGAAGAGAAAGAGGTGATCGACACTTTGGGGCAACCGAGCGGCAAGTTCGATTATTATGTGAAATACTCGGCGCCCCCGAGCTTCTATGTTGACCCCTGTGACATTGTCCCGGATGGATGGGGAGGTATGGATGATCCAACACCTCTAGTGACAGAAGATCCTGATGATGCAATGGAGGGAATCACTACCCTGTTCGATGATTTCTTCATCGGAGCGATCGAGGAAGGACCATTGGAGGGAATGGGCACTGGCCCGCAAGAGTAACACCTTTACTTTTTTCGCACACTCCCCTGCGTGGGAATTTTTACTGCTTTTTAGGACTTGCCTTGTCTCGGGAGCTACCTTTTAAGACTTTTCATTTCTAGGATTTGATTGTTGCAATTTCCATTCCAATAAATGTAATTCATTTGGTGATAATCAATGAAATTACAAGTTATTTTCGTTTTTGAGGGCATGTTGAGGTATATCAAACCAGCCCGGTGATGATATCCAACCGATAAAAGAAAAATATAGTCCAAGGAGAATTCTGAGGCCTGAGCTTCTTCATGCTTCCTCGTGTTAGAACTTTTTTGAAAAGGATTTCGAAAACAAGTCACAAAAAAAAATCAAAAGAAATGAAAATACACTGTTTAGCCCTGTTTGTCCTTCTGAACCCCCTACTTTATGTTTTAGGGGCAATCTTGTGACACGTGAGGGTATGGAAACGGTCCAATCTGATGAATTATATGCCATCGAGCCTGATCTCGATGACACCAATGAACTCGAAGATTCCTCGGACCTTCAGCGTGATCTAGAGCATCATGAAAGACCTAAAGTCCTAACGGTAGACCAAACTATCACTGTCAACTTGAGTGATTCCGGAGAACCCAAAGAGGTGAAGATAGGGGCAACCCTTCCTGAAGGTGAAGCGAAACGTTTGGTCCAACTGCTGAAGGATTACCGGGATATCTTTGCCTGGTCGTATATCGATATGCCGGGTTTAGACCCTTCTATTGTGGAGCATAGTCTACCTACTAATCCGGACATGCCGCCCAAGAAACAGAAGCTGCGAAGAACCAAACCTGAACTTTCGAAGAAGATAGAGGAGGAGGTCATGAAACTTTTGAAAGTAGGGTTTATTGAAGTCACCCGATACCCCAGTTGGGTGGCCAACATCGTGCCAGTCATGAAGAAAGATGGCCGAGTTCGGGTTTGCATCGACTATCGCGATCTAAACAAGGCCAGCCCTAAAGACGATTTCCCATTGCCACATATAGACGTTTTGGTGGACAGTACTGCTGGGTTCGAGCTGTTTTCCTTCATGGATGGTTTCTCGGGTTATAATCAGATAAAGATGAAGGACGATGATAAGGAGAAAACGGCGTTCATCACTCTATGCGGGACATTCCACTATAAGGTCATGCCCTTCGGCCTTAAAAATGCCGGGGCAACATATCAACGGGCAATGGTGACGCTTTTCCATGATATGATGCATAAGGAAATCGAGGTCTATGTCGATGACATGATCGCCAAGTCTCAGTCTAGGAAGAGTCACGTCGATACCTTGAAGAAATTATTCGAGAGACTTCGTGAGTTTAAGCTTCGTCTCAACCCAACGAAGTGCATGTTTGGAGCAACCTCGGGCAAATTACTCGGGTTCATAGTAAGCAGTAAAGGCATTGAAGTTGACCCCTCCAAAGTGAAGGCTATATGTGAGTTACAACCTCCATCGACCATGAAAGAAGTGCGAAGCCTCCTGGGTAGATTGAACTACATAGCCCGTTTTATTTCTCAGCTCTCCGAAACTGCTAAGCCATTCTTCAAACTTCTAAGGAAGAATGCTCAAGTGGAATGGGACGATGATTGTCGGGAAGCGTTTAACGAACTAAAGCAGTACCTGATGAAACCACCAGTGCTAGTCCCACCAATGTCGGGCCAGCCTTTGATCCTTTACCTCACGATTCATAGCAAGTCTCTAGGTGCGATGCTAGCCCAGAAAAATCCTGAAGATGGAAAAGAGCGAGCCATTTATTACCTAAGTAAGAAGTTCACCGTTTCGGAGTTGAATTATCCTGAAGCCGAGAAGACTTGCGTTGCACTAGTATGGGTGCTCCATAGGCTGCGACAATATACACTGCATCATCAGACTTTGCTTGTGACTGAGAACAATCCCATCAAGTATTTACTTGATCAACCGGCTTTGGTAGGGAAGTTAGCCAAATGGCAGATTTTAATTTCAGAGTTTGATGTCCAGACGATGCCACAGAAGTCAGTTAAAGGCTGAGTAATTGCTGATGTGTTAGCCGAAAATCCTGGAATCCCTGATGATGATAGATATTCTCCAGAAGATCGCATTCTGGTAATAAAAAAAGACGCATGGACCATGTTTTTCGATGGAGCTGTAAACTTGGTTGGTTCCGGCACTGGGGCAGTTTTAATATCCCCAGATGGGCAACATTATCCAGTAGCAGCAAAGTTGGTATTCCCCTGTACCAACAACATAGCCGAGTACGAAGCTTGCATCCTCGGACTCCAAGCCGCAGTGGAAATGGGGATAACCAAGTTGAAAGTGTTTGGTGATTCTGCTCTGATTATTCTTCAAACTGTAGGAGAATGGCAGACGAGAGACACCAAACTAGTGCCGTACCATGAATACCTTGAAGAAATTATAGAGGAATTCGAGGATATCTCTTTTGAGTACTTGTCGAGGTCCCATAATCAGTTCGCTGACGCACTAGCTACGTTATCATCCATGCTGCAAGTGATGGGTGGATTAGAGGTAGAACCCTTGAAGATCGAAGTCCTGACAAAACCGGCCTACTGTATGGTTGTGACCGAAGAACCTGACGAAAAGCCATGGTATTACGATATCATGAGTTACATCCAGAGACAAGAATTTCCTGAGGGAAGCACCCCGGCTGACAGGAAGTACATAATGAAAATGGCTTCAAAATTTTTTGTCAATGGTGAAAAGCTGTACAAAAGATCCTATAATTCGATCCTGCTGAGATGTGTGGACGCGGCTGAAGCTACTAGAATCATGCAAGAACTACATGAGGGGATATGTGGTCCACACATGAATGGCCACATGTTAGCTAAGAAGATCATGAGGTTGGGTTATTATTGGCTCAGTCTTGAAAGTGACTGCATCCAACATGTTCGAAGATGTCATCGTTGTCAGGTTCATGGGGACAAAATAAATGTTCCCCCGACGGAATTACATCAGTTGTCTGAGCCATGGCCCTTTTCAATGTGGGGCATCGATGTGATTGGCCCAATTAATCCCAAGGCATCAAATGGACACCGATTTATCTTGGTCGCGATTGATTATTTCTCCAAGTGGATTGAGGCGGCATCTTATGCAAATGTCACTGCAAGGAATGTTGTAAGATTCATCAGGCGAGACATAGTCGCTCGTTATGGTGTCCCCGAGGCTATTGTCACCGACAATGGGACAAATTTGAACAACAAGTTCATAGATCAGTTGTTCAACGAGTTCAAAATCCAGCACCTAAATTCATCTCCCTATCGTCCACAGATGAATGGAGCAGTTGAAGCCGCTAACAAGAACATCAAGAAGATCCTGGCCAAAACGGCTGAAAACTATCGTGACTGGCATGAAAGGTTGCCATTTGCACTAATGGCGTATCGAACTTCGATCCGAACCTTTGTCGGGGCAACCCCTTTTTCTTTGGTGTATGGCATGGAAGCAGTCCTGCCCGTCGAAGTAGAGATCCCTTCCCTGCGAGTCTTGTCTCATGTGGAGTTGTCTGAGGCAGAATGGATGCGACAAAGGCATGAGCAGTTGAACTTAATTGATGAGAAAAGATTGAAAGCCATTTGCCATGGTCAAACCTATCAGCAGAGGATAGCTAGATCCTTCAACCAAAAGGTGCGTCCAAGACACTTTGAGGTAAATGATCTAGTCCTAAGGAAGGTACTGCCAGTCTTTCCTGTTCCTGGGGGTAAATTTGCCCCAAACTACATTGGTCCATATGTAGTTAAAAAGGTGCTTCCCGGAGGTGCTTTGATTCTCGCAGAAATGGATGGTCGTGAGTTCTCCACTCCTGTTAATTCGGATGCTGTGAAGATGTATTACCCCTGATAAAATCTAACATTTTACGGCAAAAGTTTTCAAGTATTTGGTTTTATATTCTGAATTGCAAACATTTCACTGATGAATAAATGGTTTCAGTTAAGATGTGTGCATTGGCTTTAAATTCTGCATGGTTATTTTGTCGGTCTGCATCATCGACTTCAAAAGGGGGATTTATTTGGACAATCTGATAACTCATGTGGAATGAATTGAATGTGTTGAATGAGGTACACCGAGATGATGAAAGGCAAGCCCTATTCTATACATAGTCCCATGCACTAATCCCCAGTGAGTTGAGTGGAAAAATTCCATATCTGCAAGGTAAAGGGTTATCTCGCAAAAGGTACGGCAACCGAAATGATGAGAGGCATTTTATTTCTTTATCTTAAACACTACAGGTTGTCCATTATTTCGCCACTTTGAGCCTCGACACTTGGAGAAATTCTTTCAAATTACCCCTGTCAAGAACCACCCCACATTGGGGCTAATTGGAGGTAAGTCAACATCATGAGGTGAGAAAAATGGATAGAAATTTTCTTGCTCACACTTACATCAATCTTCAAGTATTGCTATTTCAGATGAACTCATACGAAATTTAAGTGCCTTAAGATGATGAAGAGCATTTCTTTCTTTATCCTACATACACTTTATCCTTTGATAAGCCCACTTGAGCTTGCAATTTCATTTCATAAAAACCCAGTTGGTGATCATCCCCCACACTGGGGCAAGGCAAAAGTCAT